GATGTTCTTTGTATATAGCCCTGTAACTTCAGGACTTGTTACAGGAATGCTCCATGCCTGTATGTAAGTAAATAGATTAATTGGCAGTTACACTGTGCTCAGAAAAAATGCTTATTAGTACCTGAATAGTTCCTTGGACTTGTAGGATCAATAAAACTTGTTATGTAGGGCAAATGACTTTTTCCAGCATCTCTTTACATCTGCTTTTATCAGATTTCTCCCTAAATCTCTGTGTGGGAAGCACTGCTGTAAGTTTGTTCAAGACAGCTGTTATGGAGGCCCTGTGCACCAAAGCATTTATGCATATGTTTAACATTCCCCCTAGAATCAATGGGAGCTGAGCACATGTTTGAGTGCTTTGCTGAAATGGGGTCAAAGTGACTGGCATTCACAAGTCAAGGATCTAGGTACCTAATACTCCCTCTGCTATGAGAACAATTGTTGCTGTTCTTTCTACATTATTTTCCTGATGTGAAATAATCTACCTAGACTGAAAATTCATTATTTTATATTTGCAAAGGACAGCAGGCAACTCTTACTTAAAAGGTTTTTGATCTTGGAAAACAGCACCTGGAAGGTTTGTTTTAACTTACCTCCTGTCTTCTGGTTTTGGTGTGCTGAGACCTCAGGTGAGAGGAAGGAAGCTCCAACCGCCTTCCAGTTTGCAATACAACCTTTGGAAAGTTGTTGTTTTCTCACTGAAACATTGACTAAGGATACTGAAAGTGTAGTTTGATCTAGAAATATCTTCTATTTTTTTAACATCAAAAACTTGTATGGAGTCCAATCCCAAATTCACTAAAGTCAGTGGAAAGACTCTTTTTACTTCAGTGGATTTTGTATCCAGCTCAGACATTTAGAGTGCCTGGGAGATACTTCCAGTTTCAATACTAAGGTAATGAAGGCAGCTTTTTTTGTTAACCATGGACTTTCCAATGGGGAATGAGTGGCTACTCCACATGAAAAAACCCAAAAGATTACAGCATGAAAGTTAAATTTAGGGAGAGATTTGTTTGGTTCCAGGTTCTATTTTTCAATCAGAAACTATAAGAAAGGGGCTGGTTAGGGGGAAAAAAGAGTCCTAAATTTGGCCTCTTTCTCTAGCATAACTGTAACTACAAATATTATACATTTTTTCTAAACCTCCAGGTAATAAGGAAAGAGCAGTTGCATAGAAACCACAATAGCAGTTAGAGTACATATTTTTAGCAAAGACACCGAAGACAACAAAGAGACAGGAAGGAGTCTTGCAAATACTTGTACAAACTATATTTTACTGATGAGGTAATAGCTTTGCATTAGCTGGGAGTTGGTACACAGCTCTGACCTCATAGCTAGTGACAACACACCTGAACAAACCATGCTGATTTGGTACTGCTACCCCAGGTAAAACAGCCTTTGTAGTCAATAGGAGGTTTTACCTAAATAAGACTTGCAGGATTTAGCCCTGACCTTCCAGGTCATACTCTAATACATATTTAAATTGAGTTTTAAATTGGTAACAAGAATCCATTACTGATTACATTAAAAAACTCCACAGTAGTGCAAGGTCAAATGTAGTAAATAACCTTTAATCATGAATACAGCTGATATTTTATGGAGTTCAAGTGTGAAAATCTGTCTGCTTTAATGGTATATGACAGTTTAAATTACCTAATTTAGTTGGAAAAAAGCTGTTTTAGCTGAAACCCTGACTTAGGCAAGTGAGTAAATATTTGCATGACTAACATCAGTAAAGGAAAAATTACTCAGCCAAGTTTGCTTTTGTTTAGACAAACAGAAGGATAAAAATAAAATTGTCATGTAAAATTAATGTCCAGAGTGATCTTACATTCTCAGTGGGTACATTTACTCGTGCCCCTGACTGCATAGTTGGTACTGCTCAGTCCCAGTGGTGCACAGGTCATTTTTGACCCTACTGCACAGTAGCATTGGTGTCACAGTTAGTGCCCACCAAAGCTACATCACAACAATGACAAGATACATCGCCGTAGCTTATTGCTATGGCAACATACCATCCCATATAGACACACCCAATTACTGTTATTAGGCAGGTCTATATGTTTGGTTGCATAGTTCTAGTATAAAATGTATGAAATTGAACCTTGTTTTAATGTGATAGGATTTTACTAAATAGAAATGCACGCTTTAGAAATAGTCCATATATTGATGCAGTGTTTTAAAACAATTAGATTCAGAAAAGTTCCATTGTTCCAAGGTTTAGAGTCCAAGTAAAAGACAGTTTCAACAAGGGAAGGTAGATTTTCAAGGTGTGTTATCTGGGATTTAAAAAAAAAATCTAAGGAAATTAACCCCCACCCATAATGTCCCTTTCAAAACTATTTCTGTGATTTAGAAGCACACTTGCTTACACTGAGTTTTCAAAAGCTTCCAGTTCTTACCAATATTTTTCTTGGGTGCTAAACATTGAGACTGAAATGAGCTCCTTAAGTGCTCTTAAAATTCTCCTGTTGACTTTCAGTGGTGTTTGGATGCCTAATTGCTTTGAGACTCTCATATGTAGTGTCGGAGCAGAGGAGTTATTACTGTGATATTCATGGATGGATTTAAACTGAAGCTCTGTCTCATGACATGTTTTGGACATGCATAGGTTTCCATTAACTCATATTCAGTGGTGCTCAAGTCCCTTAGCACTTTTCTGGGCATGGTTAAGTATTTACATACTTCATCAAGATTTTCAGAAATACTTCTCCCAACTTTGTTGAACGAGGCACATATAACTGAGTCTGGAAGTGCAACTGAAGTCCCCAGCACAGCTCAGCGCAGTTTCATACAGCTACTAGTTGTTTCATCTGCACACCATGTACTTTTGGATCCAGTTGCAAAATCCTTTCCTCAAAAACACAGGAAAGAAGATGATTCAGATAGGTAGAGAGAACAAGAAATATCTGAGGCTTTGGGAACAAAAAAAAATTCAGTAGTAAATTAGCTGGCCATAAAGTATCTATCACTAGATCATATACAATGTTAATTCCCTCATCTGAACCTTTTGAAGATTCCACAGTTCTGTACCTCTCATAAGCAGCTAGGGTGGCCATCATAGAGGACAGTCCAGTTGTCCTCTGTCGTCTATTGATACGAAACCCAATGCCTTTATGTCCTCTATTTTTCTTTTGAAGAGAAAAGTAGTGGACATAAAGGCATCAGGTTTTGTATCAATAGAGGACAGCAGACAGAGTAGCAGAAAACCAGAACATCCTCTATGATGGCCACCCTATAAGCAGCCCAGGAGCAGTAGTGAGCAGTGACCTGATGTTCTATGGGGAAGCAGATGTTTGAGTGAATTCAATCCAAGGTGCGTCTCTGTTTATGATGATTTCTGCCCTCTGTCATCTCATGTTCTACTTACAGATACCAGAGGACAGAATTTACCACAATGTGGCCTGCTATGTCCCTTGATTGGTGATGCTCAGGCTTCTAGCATATTTTCCAAGTGGCTGTGCATTTTTATTTAAAAGTGTACTATCCTTGTTAGTGTGTGAGGCTGGGACTGGGGAGATAAGGATTCAATCTTTGCTCCCCCCCCCCAGGTCAATCATTTGATTACAGTGTGTTCCTCAGCTATGCTCAGTTTCTCCTTTGCTAAATGGAGATAATAGCATTTCCATATCTTACAGAGGTGTCTTGAGGATAAGCCCACTGAAGATTGAAAGGACCTCTCAGATATTAAGGCAATGGTGCCATGTAAGTACTTTGAGCGTAGACATTATGTTATAGCCTCTTAACTGTTGTATATCTGCTTTTTGTTTGGGGGTTTTTTTATTTGCTTTGCTGCCTTTCTCTCTTATTTATTTTGAGATCAGTGACTGTTTTGAATCTGTACAGCATCTTCCTGAGTGCATGATGTCCCCAGCAGGGAAGAGAAACCATGGTATTTGGTAATAGGTTGGCAAAGGAGTGGCTGGGTACTTTGAAAGTTAGACTCTGGAAAAATCCTTTCTGATGCTAGAGCCAGAATGCCAAAGCAATATTCCAGAGCAGGCATCCAATTTCAAAACACCTGCATCACACATCTTTATTTTGGAGAATTCCCCAGTTTTCAGATTGTCCGGAGCTGAGAGCTCTGAGTTCCTGCTAGGTTTTTGCTTACAAACTCTAGAAGTGAAAACAAGCCCTTTTTAGGTTTTGAAAACATTTTCAGAAGACATTAAAAAAAATTAAGAGCCCACATTGCCATTATGCTGTAAAACAATGGTCCTTTATTTCAAAACAAAGCTGTGGTCAAATGCCACTGAGTAGTCCTCCCTATTTTAGAGGCTGTTTCATATCTCAATTAACTATTAGTTTTGCTGGTCTCAGTTAAGTTCCCTTCTCACCTGCTTGTTCACTCTCTTAACAAAGAAAACATTCCATGTTATCTCCACTTCCTCTGGAGCAATAAGCCTGGGTAGGGCTTCAAGGATGACTGCTAGCCAAAGAGCAAAGAGCTCAGGCCAATGGAAGCCAAAACCACCCTTCCTTGAGAGACACTGCTGGTGCACAAACAACCTGGCGGTGATCAGAAATAGACGGGTAACCCACGTAAACAGGGAGGTGGTAGGCCACACTATCTCAGTTTCCTGAACAGGGAACACTAAATGCCTATGATGAAGCATCAGAGCAGGAGAAAGAGGATTCCAAAGGCAACACCTGTTATTAATATTTTAGTAAAACAACTGCAAGTTCCATGTCAAAGATTTGGAGAGGACAGAGTGTGACAAATATTCTGAAAGGTCACAAAGATCTCACAAACTTTTTCAGTGTTTTCGTAGTGGAAAGAATTGGAGGCTACAGTGAAGGGAAAAAATGTAGGTTGAGCATGCTGCCAGATAATGTTAATCACCTGTGTTAGTAAAACACCAAGTCTTCCGGGTACAAATTATAGCATTTGAATTCTTCATCCTAGTCATCTCGCTTTTACAGAAATAGATAGGATTCCTTTATTGTCAATATGCTTTCTCAGAGGCAGTTTTCAAAAGCACAGACTTGACAGCACTGCGTTAAGCTTCCAGACATCTTTGTGACCTGATCTGTTGGAAAAAGAAGTGATCTGTATTGTAACTATTGGAAAGATTTTTATTTCATATTCAGTTCTGCAAACATTATATGAAAAATGCTTAGGAATCAATGATGACTAGTTTTCATTAAAATCTTGATTACATTCCAAATCATCAGGATGTCTCTGTGTGTGTTATTTATATTTATATTTATACACACACACACAAGAAGAAACTTCTAAAAATACCTTAAGGTCTAAGTCAAAACAAAATATAGGCTAGGTAGTCTTCAAATCATCTTACATCTTGTAATCCAGAATGCTTCCATGTTTGATTTTGTGGGGAAAGGGGTTTTAAAAGGAATTGCCCTTAATTAAAATTGACTTAATTGGTTCCAAATTTTGGCTTTCAAAAAATATCAGGTGCAGCCAGATGCAGATATACTTTTCTCTGTTTTCCATCTGTTTTTAGGATAGGAAGTAAAGAGGGAATTAGTCAAATTAGTTCATGTAAATGGTAATAAAAGTATGAAATAAGCTACCAACACTAAAAATTAGAGTGAAGGCTAATACATAAGTTCAAAGCACTTAAAATATTTCTCTGCTAGAGGAGGACTAAGTAATAAAAAAGCAAAATAGTGGGATACCACAAAAATAAAGTAACTAATACTGAATTTTGGATCAGATGGCTTTTTCCTAAAATGAGTTTACATCCAAATGGTTCAGACAGAAACCTGGCACTTGTGAGGACTAAGGATGAACAGTCCTTTATTCTGTTCTTATAATACTGTGTGACTTTAGGCAAATTATTTGACTTTTGTGGGGATCATTTTACTCTTAAGTAAGATGAGGCTAGTAATTGAGGGTGCTCCATGAGCCTGAATTAAGGGCTAGATTCTGGACTTCTCTATAGGTGGAGTAAGAAGCCTTCTTTTCACTTTCTTAGTAGAGCCAGCCAGAATCACAGCCTCTGTGCTGAAGGTTGTGCATGGCTTCTTTTCTCACATCCCCAAATCTGTAGGGGAAGGGTATAGGCATTGGAAGATCCACAATCACGGCAAGGTGCTGCAGCTATACCCACTTCTGCAGTGAAGAGTTCACTGCAGATGGTTCCCTGCAGATGCACCAAATAGCTGAAGGGCATGCAGCCACCGCCTTTTCCCTGCCGCCACAATGCTAGATGCCAGAGAGCCCTCTAAGATCACTGTTTGTTTTGGCTATAGTATCCGTTTTCATAGGGCTCTGGGGCCCATGGGATGAGTGCCACTGCTATTCACCCTTCCTTTCTCCCTCCCCTCCTCCAATTTAGCAGCAGGGAAAAACAGGGTATGAGCAGCTGCGATGCTTAGCTCTTGCTTTCACACAACTCCAGTGCCAGAGGCTGAAAGCTGTTAACACTTCAGAAGAAAAAATACCACCATACTAGAATTCTCCCACTCAGTGAGACGGACCCCAAAGAATTTTGACTTGGAGAGCTCCAAGCAACTGCATTTCCTTCTTTAAACACATGTTGCTGGAAAATGTTTGTAACACTAACTACTGGGTAATTGTGGTGACCAACAACCCTCCTATAATTTCCCTGGCAACCCACCAAAGTGCAAGTGCAATGGCTGTAGAAGGAGATTTGCTTCCAAGCAGTGTAACTAAAAAATAAAATAAAATCTCCTGACCACAACCAACACCATCAAGTATACACATATATACAATGCACTTTTACCTGTATTATGAGTTTGACATCCAAAATAATGACAGAATTTACTGGAATTCTTCAGGTTGTATGAATGGAGGGTGTTCACAGCACACCATAATTAGTACCATCACAGCTCTGACTTTGCGTGGTTTTTACAGGCCAAACCGTGTCTGTTTGCTTTGGAATTTTGCCTCTGCCCCAGAGCACGTCACTGCTTTGAGAATAATACTTAAAAGAGTCGATCTGGGGTTTGGAAAGCAGGAGCATCTTATCTGAGGCATTTAAATACCTATTGCACCAAGCTCAGAGAAGTTAGAGATGACTAAGTTCTGCTAGAGGGAGATGAAGGGGTTTGGATAGTCCAGAGCCTTACTCAGTGGAGACTGCTTAAAGACAGCTTAAAATCACTTTCTAAAGAGTTCCCAGTGTAGACTGGAATCAAAGCATGCAGTTTGGATGCATGCCACATATACTGACACTGTGTTTTTTTTTCTTTCTTTCTTTTCTAGTGAATGTGTTCTTCTCTTAACTTTTAAAATGAACAATCGGTGAAATAGCACTGAAATGCTTTGCAGTAAAAGTGCATTTCAGTGAAGAGGTGAAGGTCACAAAACATAGAGAAGGGAGTTCCAACAATAACAGACAGCAGAGAAGATAACAATTTCAGGTGTGAGGTTACTAAGGAATGGATGAGGGATTCTAAAGGAGAGACTAGGAAGCATAGATTTATTTGCGTCCAAGTCACAATGAGATGTAAGGCTTGATGGGAGAGAGGTAAGGATATAGAAACAAAATTAGGATTCAGCATGATGCAGAAGTACCTAAAAATGAGAAAGCAAGTACTTTAGCCCATTCCCCTGGGTACAGAACTTTTATGTTTCCATCACTGACATTACAAAGATCTCTGTAAGAAACAGATGATGACTATTTGGGAGAGTACTTGTATATGGAAAAATACACACCCACACAGATAAGTGAAAGATGAATAAAGTCATAGTTTTGTTTAGGTCACACAGGAAGTGTTCAGTCTGTGAAAATAATATCCTGAGTGCCAGTCTTTTGTTTGAACTACAAACACCCTTATGCACTGATTCTCGGCCTTTTTACACTCAAGGCACCCCTCAGAAAATGTGAGCTCTTAGCTTTCACTCAGTTTTTGACTATGGAAAATAATGGAGTAATTATTCTGTTGCCAAGAACTCAGAAAGACCACAACAGGTCAAAATATTTTTGACACTATGGATTCCTATTTGGAATCTCTGGGTTTATCTTGTGGCTTATATGCAGGTGTTTGCATACCTAAAATGACAAATATTGTGTAGCACCCTTAAAATGATCGTATGGCACCACTGGGTATTGTGGCACTCTACTTGAGAATCACTCCTCTTATGGACAGAACATTAAGGAAGATGATGAGGAACTGTACCAGTAATAAATGCAGCAATTATACATTGTTGTCTATGATATTATTGTGTAACTTTTCCTAAGTAGTTGAAAATGATGGGTTAGATTGTCACCCAGTGTAAAACTTCAGCACTGGCTTCCAAAGGACTATGTGAATTCATGGAAAACTTTCAAACTAACCTGAAATCCTTCTTTTATAAAGATTACAAATTTAGGTGATAAAGGTAATACAATATCACCTCATAAATCTGGGTATCAAAACCCCAGAATTATCAAAAATTCAGCACTTCCCCCTGCCCCTCTGGGACTGGCCACCACTCCCCACCACCCTCCCGGATGTACATGCACACCCCCCTACACTTCACCATGCACACACACACAGAGCCCACCATAAATACACCACAACCACACCGCACAGCCCCCACACACAATATACAAGTGTAAGACTTTATTTTTTAGTTATTATACAATCTCTATATATACTATGCAAACAGCTATCATGACAAAAATATTTTTTTTAATAAAATTGAAATATGTTATAATAGGTTTTTGACTTTTAGGCTAGGGTCAGACATTCAAAAAGCCTGAGCCTGAATTGGTTCATTTTTTGCAGGT